TTAATAATTTTCTGTAATTCATTCTACTTTATTTTTTACCTAACATATTTTTATAATTAAAATACTATTCCGTCCATCCACTTGATAATTTTATATTTACTTTTTGCGTTATTGTACTTAATAAATTTATATTTATTTTTTGCGTTATTGTACTTAATAAATTTATATTTATTTTTTGCGTTATTGTACTTAACATTAAAAATACTACTCCCTCCGTCAATTTAATAAGTTTATATTTACTTTTTGCATTATTGTACTTAACATTGAAAATATCTTTATATTATTTGTATTATTTTTTTTTATCAAAATGTCATTATATTTATATTATAAGACATTAATTGAAGTATTTTTATTATTTTTATTTAATTTATTACGTTTTGATATAATAATTAATATTCAAAACTCAATAACCAAAAAAACAAATGTCAACTTTGTAAATTAACAGTTTTAGTATTTTTTTTTTTTTTTTTAATACTCAACAATTGTTCCATAATTTGCATGACTGGAAGGAGTAAGTTGTTACTCAACATTTGATTAATGTTCCAAAACTTTTGTAATCTTGTTCTATTTATACTCAAAAAAATAAAATTATAATAATCTTTTTCTAATTTATAAAACATTCCAAAAATATCATAGGGGGCAAAATAGACCAAAATAATACTACCTCCCTCCCGGAAGCAGTGACGGAACTAGCTTCGACACTCCGAGGGGGCAAAATTGTCCTGATAGATTTTTTTTACAGTCCAATTGATCATATTTCGAATCATGAATTGAACGTAGTTTCTTATTTGAACCAAAAGGTTTAATAGTTTTTTTTTTGTTTGAAAAAAAAAATTGTAAGAATTTATACGTTAGTTCACTTCCACAATTTAACGTCATCTTAATATCTTTGATACCACTTGACAATATAGTGAGGTTATAAAAAAAATAATCGAGAAAAAAAAAAAAGAAAAAGAGAAAAGATGGTACGGAGTTAATATTATTTTTTAAAAAAAAAAATTTTAGTGTGTTTATTTAGTATTTTATTTTGAAATATTTTTTTTTCAAAGTTACAGAGGATTATATTATATAAAAATTAATATTTAATATTGAATATTGATTATTGTGATAATATATAATTTATATTATATATATGAAAAATTGTATCAATATAAAAATTATATAGATGAACAAAACCTATGTTTTTTATATAATATATAATATATTTATAGTTAACAATATTATACTCTCTCGGTCCAATTTCTATTATCCTAAAGTGTATTTGGACGGTTTTTTAGGTAATTGTCTTTTTGTTATAAATTGACAAATTTGTCCTTAATTGTATGGTAGAGATTAAAAATAATAAATGAATGAAGAGTAAAAATATAAAATTTGTGTTTAAAAAAAGAAATAGGACAATAGTTGTTGGACATCCTAAATAAAAAAATATGACATTAATTTGTGGACAGAGTAAGTAGATTATTATAAATTTAAAATAATAAAATAAAGAGTAAAATAGAGTAATAACCATAAATTTGGAAAAAAAAAAAAAAAGGAAGGGAAGGGGAGGGAAGGGAAGGGGGAGGAGCAAATTACATATTAGAATTAAAAATTTTATTTTTTATGTTAAAATTTATATTTCCTCCCGTCCCTTGAGAATTTATTCATTTTTTTATTTTGGTCCGTCCTATAACAAAGTATTCATTTCTTTTTTTTTAGTAATTGTACTATCTACCTAATATTACAAATACCCTTCAAATTTACAATATATTACACAAATGTCATTACCTTTATATCATACAATACTAATAGGGTTAATTTAGTCTTTTTATCTTTATTTCAACTTTTCTCAATATAATACTAATATTTCTAAAATTTCGTACAAAAAACAAATAGATATATAAATATGAAATGATGGAGTATTTTTTTGGGGGGCTTGGTGACAAGTATCCTCCAAGCCCCTTGCTAGTTTCGGCCGGAAGAATAGACTGATTTGTGTTAAGTACATAATTAAAAAGAATATTAATTATTGGTAGTTATGGAAATATGAATAAAAACTTTTTGTCAATTGTAAGTATATTTATGTAAAAAGTAATTGATATAATTATTTATGAAAATAAATCTATTACTTTGAGATATGGACAAAAATTATAAAACAAAAATATTGAATTGGAACTGAGAAGTAATAATAATAATGCTCCTTCCGTTTCATAACAAAGTATCTATTTTTTCATTTTAGTCCGTTTCATAATAAAATATCTATTTCCTTTTTTAATAATTGTACTATCAATCTAACATAACAAATATCCTTACAACTTTCAATATATTACACAAATGTTATTACCTTTATATCGCACAAAACTAAGAAGGTTATTTTAGTCATTTTTACTTTATTTTTATTACATTCCAATGTAATACTAATATTTCTATAACTTCGTAAAAAAAAAAAATGACTAAATAATTATGAAACAGAGAAAGTAATAATAATAATAATAATAATGGATTAGTTACTTGCAATTTCCAACCACCCTACTAATTAGTGTAGACTCAATCGAGCGGCAAAATGTAGAACACGACTTTTAAATTATTGCCAAAGAACCAGTCTTTCATTAAATTGGGTGTGTTTGTTTGGGGGTTTGGATTTTGAATTGGGATTTGAATAGTAAAAATTTTGAATTTGAATAGTTGTATGATGTGATAAAAATAGGGTTTGATGTGATGTTTTGAATGTGAAATTGATTTTTAGTATAATATAAAAAATAAAAAATAGGTGTTTGATTTGATGTTTTTTGGGGGAAAAAATTGGATCAATAGTGAAAATCCACCAAAATCCTTCAAACAAACACACCCGAAGTAGACTTGGACAAAACTTAAAACACGATTTTGCAATTATTCCCATTAATTATCGACCCTTTCAATGTTGAAAATGTCAGGGCGTGTCTCTTTAAATAAAATTTATTGTATTTTTATTAAACGAAAATAATAATAAATCCCTAAAATAATAAGACTATTCTTAGGTATCTGCCCAGATTTGGCAAAAATAGGTATAGTACAAATATTCATTTGAATTGACACGAAATAATTGTGTTTTTCTCTGTTCTATAACTAAATATCCATTTGCTTCTTTACACGTAGTTTTATAAATATTAGTATTATATTGGAATATAAGTAGGAATAAAGTAAAAATGATTAAAATAACCTTATTAGTACGTGTGATATAAAAGGTAATGACATTTGTGTAATATATTGTAAATTGTAAGGGTATTTGTAATGTTAAGTAGATAGTATAGTTACTAAAAAAGAAAATGAATAATTTGTTATGAGACGAACTAAAATAAAAAAAAAAAATGAATACTTTGTTATGGGACGAACGAAGTATTTAGACCTAGAAAAATAGGTTAAAAAAATTTATGCCGTGCCAGCCTTACATGACAGTGAACCGAGCTGGGCCTGAGCTATAAAGGTCGGTCCGTATCTGACTTGGTCCGATTTTAAAGATTAAATATTTTTAAAATAAATAATTATATATATTTAAACAAATGAATACACCTCAAATATAAAAAGTATATAGTCTAATGGTTTAGGTCTTAGTTTGCATAGGGTAGATCATGGGTGGGAATGACAAAAATGGTAAAATATGCATTTTGAGTTGAGACGAAATGAGTAATATGTAAATGGCTATATGCAATATTAAATAAAAATAAATATGTAATTTGAATGGTGGAATCCATATAATGTGATTGTAGGTTGAATGAAAAGTTTAACAATCATAGAAAAATAATTGTTTGAACAGAATGTTGATATAATATGTGAGGAGATCATTATTCAAGTTTTTTGTTTTCACTCAATTTACTTTTGGTTAGTACGATTTTCTATAAATACTACAAAAAATATAATCTATACATAGGTTTCGTTCACTCAATGTTTTTAGATGAATTAATTTTTGACGTGAGATACGAAGAATTGTGTCAAAAATATTAAATACTCCCTCTGTCCACTTAAGAAGTATACGTTTACTTTTGGCGCGAAGTTTAAGAAATAATAGTATTATAATTATAGTGGGTAGTTAAAAGTAGTCTAATGATATTTTTGCCCTTGTTTTTTTTTATATAAAAGTAATGATGTGATGTAAAGTAAGAGTATTTGTGGAAAAAAAATAGGTATTTAATGAAATTGTTACTTTGTAATTGGACGTCCCAAAATAGAAATATGTATACTTTCTAGTCGGACGGAGGGAGTATATTATTTTAAGTTGAATATTTGACTTTTTGATTAGTATTTAATTTTTTTTATGACTCGACTTTTATAAAAAATATTTTGTATTGTATACTCCCTCCGTCCACTTACAAAATAAACATTTACTTTTGACGGGTGTTTAAGAAATAATAATATTTTATTTATAGTTGATAGTTAAAAGTAGTATAATGATATTTTTGCCATTACTTTTTGGTGTAAAAGTAATGATGTGATGTAAAGTAAAAATATTTATAAAAAAGAAGTAAAGTATTTAATGAATATTTATTTTGTAATTGATCGTCTAAAAATATAAATATATATACTTTCTAATTGGACGAAAAAAGTATTATTTTAAAAAAATCGTAATTGAAAGAACAGAGTATGTATTAACCCAATATATAATATATATATTCTATTCACAAAAAATAAATAAATCAAAAGTTCAATATAAAATATTACCTTTTATATTACTAATAAACTGTACTTAACATAAAAATAAATATTGATTTAAAAATACAAAATAAACACAGCTTTATCTCTGCAAAATATATTTATTATTATTATATATATTTTATATTATTATTAACGACCATCTCATAATATATATATATATATATATACACATGTAAACACTTGGTCAACAAACTCTAAATCACACATCACAAAACAATGTCAAAGTCAAATGGTCCAACTCTTGACATAATACTTTTTCCACATTAAAATGCCTATAAATATATACAACTCATTTGCTCATAAAACATCCTCAAGAAAACACTAATCAGTCGAGCCTAGTTCGCAAACTATTAGATTCGGCTAAAAATTTACTCAGAGCATACTCGAAAAAGCTATTAGGTTCAGCTAAAAATTTATTCAAAGCATACTCGAAAAGTAGCGACTGTGAGTTCATTCTTAAAAAAAACACACATGCACACAATGACAATGTTTAAACCATTTTATCTCCTTGTCCTGATTATCACAATTTCTCATTCAACAAGTGCCCAAACCCCATCACCATTTAACTTCATCGAAGATCTTCAAGGTTGTCACAAAGGCAACTCATCTACTAAAGGCCTCCATGGCCTCAAACACTACCTCCATCAATTTGGCTATCTCAATTATCTAAACCAAACTCATCTCGACGACGACGACTTCGACAACGCCCTCGAATCCGCCCTCAAAACCTACCAAAGAAACTACCGTGTCCCCCAAACCGGCGCGTTGGACGCCGCCACGGTCGCTAAAATGACCTCACCACGATGTGGAGTTCCCGACATTGTCGATGGCATCAACACTATGGCGAGAAAGAAACATCGCCGTCGCCCGTCAAAATCTATCCATGTCGTTGCCAACTACGCCTTCTTCCCTAATAGCCCCCGTTGGCCGAGTTCCCAAACACACTTAACATACAGGTTCGAAACTTTTGATAATAGTATCAGTTTATATCAAATGCTGACGTATAATTTTATCGATACAATGCTAATAAAAAAATAATTATATAGTTTTTTTTTAAAAAAACAAATCTCACTATTCTTTTGATGATCTTATAAGTTTGTTAAACATTGTTATATCAATACATGCCTATCATATTTTTGTTTAGATATAATTTGTAAATATTTCCGTATAGTAAAAAAAAGAGAATTTGATGTGATTATTGAAATTAGTACTCCATTCGTCCCACGTAATTTGTCCACTCTTTCTATTTCGATCTGTCTCACATAATTTGTTCTTTTCTTTTTTGAAAATATATACACTTTAATCATATTTTAAAATTCATCATTTATAATTTTTTATTTTAATTAAACTATTTAGTCATTTTGATTTTAATATAAAATTATTTTTATTATATCATAATTATTTTTACTAATACACTTCTTAATTACTTACTAATTACATAGTACTTAAAACTCTGTGTCTCAGCTAAAATGGATACATTAGTTGGGACGGAAGAAGTACTATAGATGAATATAATTGTGCAAAGATTAATCCTTGAATATATGTAAATAGAAGATAATCACTCATTCAATGTTGACATATTTTATCGATACAATGCTAATAACAAAATTTCTATATAGTTAAAAAAAAGAAAAAAAATCGGTCTATTTTGTTGATGATCTTATAATCTTGTTAAACATCGCAATGTCAATAACACCTATCATATTTCTTTCTAGATATAGTTTTTACAAGTTCGGAAATTTTGTGAATGTTGACATTTACAAAATTTGACGTGATTATTGAAATAGCACTGCAGATGAACACAATCGTGCAAAAAGTAATTCTCGAATATATGTAAATAGAAGGCATTATTTATTTATTTAATTTTTACGAATATATATATATATATTCGAAATTCCAATGGTATAGGTTCGTTGCCAACACTCGCATTGATGCTATTGCTCCGGTGAACCGAGCATTCAAAAAATGGGCGTCGGCCACACACTTTACTTTCTCGCGCGTCGCAAGAAATGCAAAATCCGATCTTGTAGTCGGGTTTTTCTCTAAAGACCACGGCGATGGTTTTCCATTCGATGGCCCGGGTGGAACCTTAGCGCACGCTTTTGCGCCGACTATTGGAAGCTTTCATTATGATGGCGACGAGAATTGGGTGAATGGAGCTGTTGAAGGTGGATTCGACTTAGAGACGATCGCCCTCCATGAGATCGGACATCTCTTGGGGCTCGGACACAGCGAATTTCCGGCCGCCGTCATGTTTTCCGTCGTCAGCTCCGGCCAAACCAAATTAAATCTTCACCAAGATGATATTGAAGGAATCAAAGCTTTATACAATGTCTGAAACTAGACAACACATCATAGGATGGATTATATACTGTTTGTTTGTGTTTTATACGAGTGTTCACGATATATTATACTCCCTCCGTCTACTTACAATGTTTACATATTTATATTTTGGGACGTCCAACTACAAAGTTAACATTTCATTAAATACCCTACTTTTTTCCACAAATATTCTTACTTTACATCACATCATTACTTTTACACAAAAAGAAAGTAAGGGCAAAAATATCATTACACTACTTTTAACTACTCACTATAATTAAAATACTATTATTTCTTAAATACCGCGCCAAAAGTAAATGCCAACCTTCTAAGTGGACAGGGGGAGTATCATATACTTCTATTTTGTCGGATTTTATTTTATTTACTCATGTCTTTTCCTTTTTATTTATTTATTTTTTTTTTAATTTTTTATGAGTCGAAGTATAATTCTATTTTAGAATAAAATATTACTTTCATCCCGGGATGGTTGGACTTATGGTTGGTTACGTATTTAAGCTAATAGAGTTTAGTAAATTAATGAAAGTATATTATATTATTTTTAACGAAGTGGTGTTTTATGATACTTTTAAAATAACAATTAATATATATGATTAAAAAAATTAAAATATGTTTAAATATTTTAAATATTGTATCTCAATAATAATATATAATATTATTTTGTAGAGAATAAAATTTTATATAATACAATAAATAAAAAAAATATAGTATTTATTTATTTATGATTAATATAAATTAATTTTATAAAAAATAAAAAATTATAAATATAGATAAAAAAATTATTTATTAAGGAAAAAAATATAAATGAAAGAATTTTGAATGGTCATACGTATTAAAATTTTAATTAAAATAATTTATTTTTGTTAGATATATTTAAAATAGATAGAGTTACTAAATATGAAAATATATAAACTAACACGAGACAATCTAAAATAAAAATGGTTTCATTTGCTAGGAGATGGTGGAATACTTTCTTTCCTCTTGATTTATACTTCCTCCGTCCCACGTATCGTATCTGCTACACTGTAAACACGGTAATTTTAGGAGATGTGTAATTAGTAGATAATTAAGAATGTATTAGTGAAAATAATTATCTTATAATATAAATAATTGTAAATTAAGATTAAGATAACTAATTAGTTTAATTAAAATTTAAAAAAAAAAATAAAAATTTTAAAATGAGATTAAAGTGTGTAATCATTTTCCAAAAAAGTAAAGTGACATGGAATGTGGGACAGACATAAAAGGCAACTTGGACATGGTATGTGGGACGGTGGGAGTATTATTTTCAATTTAAAACATTATTTTTAAAATAAAAATTATTGAAAAATAGGAGAGTGTTGAATTTTTTTAGTAAAGTGACTCCGATTGTATCCATGAATTTTTATGATTCGAATGCTTTGATAGTATGAGAATTGCTCTATTGTTGCGTGGGGACTTAAGGGCGTGTTTGGCAATTAGCTGTTAGCTAATTCAATTAGCTGGTTTGACTAGCTGATTCGATTAGCTGTTTGTATTAAAATGTTTGATAAAATAACTGTTTGATATTAGTTGTTTATACGTAAAATGACAATTGAGGACATTTTTATTTTATTTTATTTTGTTGCTAATATATTCAATTGTGTTCTTTTGAGTTTAGAATGTTTGAAATTTTTTATTATTAGTTATTGAAAATTATAAAAAGTTTTATAAAATGGAATAGTATTTATTTTTATTATAGTTAGATTTAAAAATAATATTTTTTATTGAAAAATATAAATAATTTTTTCTATTGAAAATAATGTAAAATATAAAATAATAAATTTTTCGTGTATATATTTATTATTTTAATTATCGATTAGTTCATTATATTTATAATTTTTAATAAATTTAATTTATTTAAATTATTTTTTAAGTATAAAATTTATATAATGTAATTTTAATATAAAATAAATTATTAATATTTATATTTTGTATTCTGGGTTGATTTTAATAAATTTATATATTTTATAATTAAAATAATTTATATATATAAAATAATCATTTTAAATTTATAAAAGTAAAACGATAATATAATAAAAATATTATAATATAATTAATAAATAATCAAAATATATTGATTTGTGTAAAATGCATAATAAATTTTCAAGGATAATTAAGGAATAAAAAAATTTAGACTGAAAAAAGCTATTTCAAAATGTTGGGTAAGTTAGCTTTTCAGGTCCAAAAAGCTAATTTGTCAAACACCTAAATTAACTTGACTGGTCAAACAGTTTAAAACTATTCAATAAGCTAAAAAATTTTGAAAAAACTCTTTGTCAAACACCCTCTTATCAATTTTGAGACTAATAAAAGTAGTAGCCGCCAATATTGACACCTTTATTTTTTTATAAAAAAAATAATAAAATAGGTGCAAAAGTATAAAAAAAAATAATAAAATAGGTGCAAAAGTTGGTCTTTGAAATTTTATGGCAATAAATAATTATTTTTAATATACTTTTTTATTTCCATCTTAATTGATATATTTTTATTTTTGTATATTTCATAACAATTGTCACATTATTAACATAACATATAAATACAAACCATTATCACTTCACTTGCTGGTCATAATTAATACTATGCTTCGCTAGCTAGGGGTGGGCAAAATATCCGAACCGAACCGCAGAACCGTCGAACCGAACTGAATCGAACCGAATTCTCGGTTAACCGAGCAAATTCGGTTCGAATACAAATACTGCATATTTGGTATTTGTTCGGTTCGGTTCGGTTTCGGTTTCTAACCTTTTTTTCGGTTCGGTTAACCGAACCGGATAATTTTATAATAAATTAATTATGTTATATTATATATTTATAATTTATTTATATAAATTATCATTAATAATATACATTACAGCCACTCTCCCAGTGCAGACCCGGTTCAAACCTAGTGCAAACCGCCAAACCCCATCTCCCAAATCTCAAACGCGATTTCACAACCCTAATTTCTTCGTCTACCTCCTGGACATCGGCGGTACTTCACCTGTTCACCATCTTGCGATTTTTCAGCCAATTAGCGGCGGCTTCATCTTGTTTCTGCGATTTTTTATTCCATCTCTCAGCACGGCTTCACCCCCTCTTCTGCAGTTTGTGTGCAACTATCCAGACAATCGTTTTCAACTCTTCGCGCACAATACAACTACAAAATCTTTCATGTAACAACTACAAATAGTCGATTCAAGATTATAAAATCTTTTCCATTTTATTTACATTGTGCAGAGTTTTTTATTGTTTTTGTAGTGGACCATTTTTTTTGTTCAAAATTTTTTTCCAAAATATAAATATAATTGTGCAGGTTTTATTATTATTATTTTTAACAATTAAAATGCTAACTTATTTATTTTGAATCCAAAATTGGTAATGAGTGTTAATTGAAGCTTATCTATTATTTATATTTTTTTCCGTTATTTCTCACTAAATAAATTTATTTTTATTTATGCAGGTTTAATGGAATCAATGGGTTCAAAAACAGACGGGTATCCTATGGAATCTTTTATGCCAGAAACACAATCTCAACCAGAATCAAAGGATTTTCAAACTCAAGCAGCAGATGATTGTCCTGCTCCTAAGGTACCTAAATTTCGATCTGTTGCTTGGGATAATTTTAAAAGGACTGAATCTGGAGATAAGGCAAAATGCAATCATTGTTCTACATTGATTACGTGCAAATCTAAACTAGGCACAAATACTAGTGCTATGTTGAATCATTTGAAAAGGTGCAAGGCAATTCTGAATGAAGTTGAAGATGATGGGCATATGGGTAAAAAATTGAAACAAACAACAATGCATTATCAACCGAAAAAAGAGAATGAATGTGTTGGTGTTAATTCTTTTTTGTCATTTGATCAACAACAATGTCGTAAAGCTCTTGCTAAATGGATTATTGTTGATGAGATGCCATTTAGAACTGTAGAATCAGAAGGATTTCGTGATTGCATGAGTGTCATTCAACCTCGATTAGGAATTCCGTCCCGAAGAACACTTGTTAGAGATTGCATTAAAATTTTTCAATATGAGAAGTCAAAGTTGGAGACCTTTATCAAGAATTACAAGGGTAGTGTTTGTCTGACTACAGATATTTGGACATCTTGCCAAAATTTGAGTTATATGTCATTAACTGCCCATTTTATTGATGATGATTGGAATTTGCACAAAAAAATTTTAAACTTCTCACCAATTCTTGGTCATTCGGGTTATGCGATTGGAAAGAAAGTTGAGGATTGTTTGGTGGCTTGGAAAATTAAAAATATTTTCACTATAACGGTTGACAATGCAAGCGCAAATGATGTTGGTTTAAGATATCTAAAAGATAGGTTGAAGAAATGGGGAGGGGTGACTTTGGATGGAAAGTTTTTACATATGAGATGCGGTGCACATATTCTGAATCTTATTGTTAAGGATGGATTGAATGAAATAAAGGGTTCAATTGAGCGAATTCGGTCTGCTATTCTTTATGTGAGGTCTTCTTCAAATCGCACACAAGCATTCAAAAAATTGATGGAAAAACAAAGATTGAATACGAATGCTATTGCTTCATTGGATGTCGATACAAGATGGAATTCAACATATAAAATGTTGGATTCCGCCTTAAGAGTAAAAGATGCGTTTGATTTGTTGGAATGCGAAGATGACAAATATAAGGATGAGTTGAAAAAGAACGACAAAGTGCCACCTACAAAGGATGATTGGTCTTATGCACGTGGATTTCTACCATTTTTGAAATGTTTTTATGATATAACTGTTAGAATCTCAGGCTCTAAGTATGCAACTGGAAACTTATATATGAAAGAAATTTTTCGTGCTGCATATAATATTCAATCAATGGTGGAAGATCCGGATTCATTAGTTAGATCAAATGGTTTCCAAGATGTCTGGAAAGTTTTTTAAATATTGGGGAGATTGGAAAAATGTCAATCCAATGATTTATCTTGCAACTATTCTTGATCCGCGCCATAAAATGCGTTGGGTGAATTTTACGATAAATCGCGTGTATGTAGAGAGTGAAGCAAAAGAATTGCTTCAGTCAATTCAGGATGTTTTGAGAATGATGTTTG